AAAAAGTTCTTTTCATGCTGAGCTAATCAAAATGACCACAGCTGATCACAGTTGAAAGTCAAATGGCTTTGTGTGCCATTGAGAAGGTGATTGGCTACATGATTGATTTTACAAGTCCCGTTTAGAAGGAGGGTGATTTTTTTTTTCGAAGTGATTTTGTTTTTGATTTAATTTCTGACATGTTGGTGTTATATCTTTCAATTGGATTCTATAGGTAAATACAGCTGGATAAAACAAAAACTGTGTCTTCATTTCAGGCTGCAAAGCAACAGAATTTGGTTATTTTAAAGGGAACAATTCTTTTCTATACCCACTGCATCTCAAGCCCAGTGAACCTAGTTTAGGATGTGCCCCATATTTCTCCTTACCACACAAGTTTATTGAGAACCACAGTAGAAGTATCCCCACTGTTTCCGGCTTCATACAAGATTTGGCAGTTATGGTTCTCTGTCAATGATAATGCCTCCCTAACTGCTTTATCCATAACCTGAACTACATACATCATATAAGCTTTCATATTTCTCTGGTATATGTACTGCAGATATCTATTTTTATTCTAAGAGTTCATGAGCCCTAGCTGTCCTGACTATGTTATTGTACACTTTCTTTAAAATAAAGAATGTATAAAAAACAAAACCTCCAAACCTGGACTATAAGATTTCAGTTTGATGCTAAGGCTCCATGTACACGGGACACTTCTGAATGATGGAAACTGACTGCTGGAAAACGTAGGTTAAAAAATGTCTGTTTATCCGCATTTGCATACCGCGTTTATGCGCGTTTGCATTAAGCGTTTTTTAACCATTAGCCGCCCGGCCAATGGCCATTTGGCGGCTTCAGAAGTGTCTCTCCACTCCGGGTGCACGCCATTTGGCGTGCTCCCGCACATGCGCCGTTTGCGCTAATGCAGAGCGGCGCAGCAGTGCGATCTGTCACCGGTCGTGCACCTCGGACACGGCCGATGACAGATCCGAGTACCGGCTCCCGTTGCTGGTACCATGTGACCTGCTATGACCAATCACAGCAGGTCACATGACAGTTGTATACAATGGATGGCTTCATTCATGATGCCATCCAATGTATACTAGTGCCTAGCTGTGAATGGTCACAGCTAATCACATGCACATGTCATGTGATTAGCTGTGACCAAATCACAGCTAAGCACAAAAAAAAAAAAAAAAAAAAAAAAAAAAAAAAAAAGCTGAATGAATAGATTTCATTCAGGTAAATGCTTGCTTATAGCAAAGTAATTCTTTGCTATAAGCAAATTGGGGAAGTGATCAGTATTTTTTTTTTTTTTCTTTTTACACAAAGTAGTACAATGTTACTATGGTAACATTGTACTACTTTGGTCATAGTAAAATATGAAAAAAAATCTTAAAAAAAATTAAAAAAAAGGTAATAAAAAATTAAATATAATAAAAAAATAAAAAAAATTAAAAAAATATATATATATATTTTTTTTCATACTGTCACCAGTCAGTGTCCCTGTTCACCGCCATGCCAGTTATATGATGATGCTGTACTGCACTGGTGACAGTATGTAAAAAAAAAAAAAAATAGTGAAAATAATTTTTTTAATTTTCCGAAAAATGATGACAAAAAATACAACTTCAAAAAACTCACCATGCCTCTTATGAAGTACGTCGGACTGTCTACTCTGCAAAAAGGGGTCATTTGGGGATATCTGTACTATTCTGACATTCTTGGACCTCAAGAAATTAGATTGGCTGTCAGTACTTCAGGATTGATCAATATTCAGATCTATACCATAGTTTGTGAACTCTATAACTTTCCTACAAACTAAAAAATACATCCTAATTTGGGTTATTTTCACCAAAGACATGTAGCAGAATACATCTCGGCCTAAATTTATGAAGAACAATTATTTATTTGTAAACGATTATAACAGAAACAAAGAAAATGTGTTTTTTTTTTCAAAATTTTTGGTCTTTTTTTGTTAATTTAGCAAAAAATAAAAACCCCAGCGGTGATTAAATACCACCAAAAAAAAGCTCTAGTTGTGTGAAGAAAATGATAAAATTTTAGTTTGGGTACAGTGTTGTATGACCGCGCACTTGTCATTCAAAGTGTGAGAGCGCTGAAACGTGAAAACTGGCCTGGGCAGGAAGGTGTAAAATTGCCCGGTATTGAAATGGTTAAAGATAACCTCAGGAGACCTTCCAAGATGCCCAGAATGCACTGAAAAACAGTAAAAAATTAACCATTTCAGACATTTTGAGAGAAATAGGAAGAAGCAGAGAGAGCAGTATGTGTTAAGATTAACGGTCTTTTTTTTGTGGTGTTTGGATGTGTTCCAGCTCATTTCTGTGCAGAAATTATTGCAGCAGTGTCTAACATATTTTTTTTTCATGCAAAACCTCAAGGTATGGTGTACCAGGTCCATTTGAGTACCGGGAAAATGCTTGGCATGCATTTTTCATGATGAAAAAAAGGCTCTGGACAGCATCTGGAAATGGAACAGTTAAAAAACAAAAAAAAAAAAAATTTCAAACGCCTAGAAATGCAGTTAGCCGCATTTAGACATGTTTACAAGCGTTTTGCATTTGAAACGCTAATAAAATCTACTCCTGAACAACTGTAAACTCAACTGCCTGTAAATTACATAGTGTACATGGACACATAGGAAAACATAAGTGAGATTTCAGGGGCTGCTGAAAAAAACGCTGAACAGCTCCTAAACGTGAGTTTATCAGCTGCAGTGTACATGTACCCTAACTAGTTGTTCAAGGAAACAAGTTATGTTTATATTTATTTTGGTAGATCCTGTTCACATAACATTCATGAACACAGTTAGCCATTTTATATTTCAACAAGGTAAAGCCTAACCTCGGTGTAATCAGAATTCATGCTTGCAGGTTGTTTACTGCTACCTTTTGCAACTTATTACTGGTTTATGGGACTCCCCTTCACATTAAGGAGCCAAAAGTAAAGTGCATGGTGGAGGAGGATGTGTACAGCCGAACAAGGAAGCGGTTTGCTTTATATTAGCCCTGATTTTCAGGTCCTCTGGTGCCCCACAAGACAGCCAAATTGACTTGTATTAACTTAAAGGTTCATTTAGCTTTTAGTATGACGTAGTAACTTAACCTCCCTAACGGTATTCCCGAGTGTAGCTCGGGGTAAAAGGTCAGTACCAAAAGCAGTAACCCCGAGCTACACTCGGGCTTACCATGCAGCGCTGTATAGGGAGTCCCTGCAGAGCTTACCTTGTCCTTCGCTCCCGCGATGTGTCCCCTGCAGCGTCCCCGGCCATCTCCTCCGGCTGATGCCGGCATCCGCCTCCTGTGTTCCGGTCCCTGTGACGTCGGGACGTACGGGCGCCGCCGGCGGCGGGAAATTTGAACATTTTAAAAAAATGTCATTTTTTTCAAAATGATTTTACATGGTAAAACATTGCTATTTCACACACATTTTGTCCCGAGTGCTTTGTCCTGTCCCGTCTGCATTTTGATTTTTCTTTCTGCCTGGAAACTTAGAAAAGTCCATGGCGTCCAAAAAGTGTCCCTTTAGGTCAAAAGCGGTTTTAGACCAGCTAGAGAACAGCGATAGAAAATTAGAACTACTTGCAGAATTGAGTGATAATGATTCGTGGAGAAATTCGTCCTCAGACACTGAAAACGATTTTGCGACTTTGCTCAGTGATGTGCGAACTTGGCGCTATATTTCAAATTTCAGTGTTTTTGGTTTGATTATATTATTGAATTAAATGTATGATTTAGAATCTTGTTCAGACAGATTTCAGTGAGTTATTCCTAAAAATTACAGCCTACAATAAAAAAAATTACATATTTCCATGCAAAATAATTGTACCGCTTTCAGCACCAAAAATATGAAATAATCATACTGCTAGGGAGGTTAAAGGTTCATTTAGCATGACTGTGTAACCTCTTTTGTGCCCACTGATTTGCTAATTATCTTAGAAATAAATAAAAGAAACTGCATGACTCCGGGGCCTGTTGGTTTGTCCCACAGTACACAAATATTGTGAGCTGTTGTAGAGACCTTTACAAGAATACAATATTTATTTACAGAATACAATACCTTGCTTCATTTCATTTATTGAGTACAGTTTTCATTTGTCTCAACCAAATAATGTAATCAGAAAAGTAAACTAAAAAAGGTCCCCAAGTAGGCTACCAAAATTTTTGGTATGAAATCCAGTCTACGAAATGCAGGTTTACTGGGGAAAGCTTGAACAGGTGTATGAGCAAAGAAACAGACTTGCTACAAATCCTTTTCCCAACCATGTGAAATTCATGTGCTTTATACACTAGCTCTCTTTTCCGCTTGACAAAGGATAGTTTCAGCTAAGCACCAGGCATCAACTGTGATGCTCAAGTCTTCCACAGGGGTGACATTCCCTGGTCTAGAACAAAAAATTACATGTATGAGTGAGGAAAATGAAAAAACTAAAAATGAAAACTGTATGCATCTTTTTTTCTGAAATGTAACTTGCATCATAGATTTTCTTGAGCCAATAAGCAAAAAGTATTTGTTCTGTTTAACAGAAAGCCTGAAATAAGTTATCAAAGGCTACTCAAAGTAACATTTGTAATAAACAATTATAATAGTTTTGGGGGAAATTAAGCAGTATGGTTTAAATTAAGGGTTATAAAATGATTGCAATTGCTCCCTTGTTTTCTCAGAAGACAAAAACACAAATTTGAAAGTCTTCTTGGTAGATGTAGCAATGACAGGTCACAAAGATGAAACAGGGGTGCATAGTTACAGTATGTCCAAAAACGGTGGCCAAGACACAACTGATTAAGCAATGCACTGTTAGACTTTTAGGAAGGGTGCAACACAGTCTCAGTGTAAGAGGAGGGAATTCAATCCTCTGCCAGTTTCAACATGGGAATGAATAGGGTGAACAGAGACTGTCTGAATGTGCAATGCGCCACAGCCGTAGAAATACTGTACACAGGTTAGGCCACAGGATATAGACAGTTCTCTTAAGTATAATTTTAAACGGGTCCTCATGCATCCTCCAATGCAGCTGCTTTTCTTTTACGACCTTTTGCTTCCTCCTGGGGTTGGGCTTTGAAACACTCTTCTGAATGGATGTAATGTAGGGCCATTTCACTGTAGGCCTCCAAAATCCTTTGACGTTCTTCAGGTGTGAAGTCTACAGAGTAAGGGTGCACCTGGACAATGTGGCGCTTAATGGTGCTGACTTTCAGAGTGGCCAGTGTACCACCACACACCATGCAGATAAGGCCCTGTCGACGACAGTCATAGTCCATCATAAACTCAGTGCGCCAACGAACCTGGTAGCTCCGCTTGGCACTATTACATGGTGGAGGTAGAGAAGCAGTAGGCTTAGAAGGCTTGGAGATGGTTGGAAGAATTATATCAGTACGTGGTGTGCAAGTTGCCGCACTGGCCCCATGTGTTTCAGAGGTTGTTGAATCTTCTGTGTTAAAAAAAAAAAAAAAAAAAACAGAATAGGCAAAAGTTGGATATATGAGCATGGCATATGAAAACTATCCCTTCACAAAATTCCTAGCAGAATAATTAAAGCACAATTATTCTAAAATAAAACCCACCCCTTGCTGTACAGAAGGTACTATCTGATGCCTATACCCATTGTTCCTGTCTGTTGGTCACTGCTGGAGACTTGCTGAAAATAACAGTAATCCCGTCCTCCCACAATGCAGTGATCGATGCCTGGACAGCCACTTGCTGTGTTGGAGAAAGGGAAAGGTCGTGATCACAGTGGCCGACAGAATCAGGGATGGTTAAGTATGGACACTGGATGATGTCTACCGTTGAGCAAGCAGGTGAGTCTTATGTTAGCAAGAAACACAAAGTTTATGTCAGGGCGAAACAAAACAAAAACTGCATAACATTTCGGCAATACATGCACATTTTCCCCCTAAGTATAGAACAACATCTGTTGCTGTGTCAGAAATGTACTCACCTCCTAAATGCTGTTATGGGTTGATAATGCAAAGCAATTTTTGTTCACTGAATTGTGTCAGACCTGTCCAATTGTCTTTTGCCAAACTACTTAAAGCCTAAGAGTAGCCAAAATCAAAAACAGAAAAATCAGCACAAGGGACGTAACTTACAGTCAGTAGGATGTGTCCCTGTGTTGATTCCTCTGCTATTAGTAATAATTCTTCTGCGTCCTGCCCCCCACACTGCCTTAATCTTCCAGTATAGTAGGGGGTAATACAACTAAAGGGCTGTCACAGCTTCTCATCAAGAGAGCCTTCCTGTGCCCACTTTTTCCACCCAGTTAGCATAGCCAGCATAGTGCATCTGGAAGGCACGGGTGTAGGGTCCAGCCCTGCTGCCTGCAGCCTGTCAAAAGTCCAGTTCAAATAATGATTGGAGCAGGCCCTCCTAACCCTCTTGTATTGAACTGTACTGTTGCTGTAGTGTCTCCCGTTATATTGTAAAGCGCTGAGCAAACTGTTGGCGCTATATAAATCCTGTATAACAATGCTGTGACTGGACAGGGCTGAATGCTGTACAGAGTGGTACCCATGTTTAGAGCCCTATGTGTTCAGGGAAGTATGCTTGGAGAACAGAATACCTGCTGAACACATACAGCACTAAAGAGGATTTACAGTACTCAGCCCCATCCAGCCACAGTGTATGTCAGCCTGCCATAGACTTTGACCCCTTTCTTCTTGGGGTTGATAATTATCAAACTTATTTATTTGTATTACAGGTATTTATATAGCGCTGTCAATTTATGCAGCACTTTACATATATATTGTACATTCACATCAGTCCCCAACCCTCAAGGGGGTGTACAATCTAAGGTCCCTAACTCACATTCATACATACACATACTAGGGACAATTTAGACAGGAACCAATTAACCTACCAGCATGTCTTTGCTGCTGAAGTGTTTGAAATGTTTTTGGTTCTATTTTCTGACCCTGAAATTTAGGCCACCCATTCCCACATTGTGCCAATCAAATATTTCTAAATGTAACACTAATACTCTGCATGCTCTCCCCCAAATACTCCTAAAAGCACAGGATAATGAGCAGCATCGCGGCAGAGACTGTAGTTCTCAGTGGGCATCACCAAACTTGTCCTCCACTTAAACTTCCTCCAGCCCTGAAACCGAAAGTTCATACCTCAGTACAAAAAACAGTGGCTGCGGGATTCGTTTTCATGGAGCCAGAGCACTGCACCCACGATCCACTGACTGTGGCTGCAATACTTATGCAAAAAAAAAAATGTTTTTTTTATATTTAAAAGCACTAGAACAATGCTTTTTTGATCTAATGCTTTACATTGTAGAGGAGAGATGTGGGGTCTTATTGACCCCATATCTCTCCATAAAGAGGACCTGTCACTAATTATTTCTATCAAAAGGATGCATTCGTTTCTTGTGATAAGAATAAAAGTGATTACATTTTTTTTAAGGGACAGTGCAAAGAAAAAAAAAAATGAAATATTTTTTTTTTAAAACAGTTTTAAAAGTGCCCCCGTGCTCGCATGTACTGGTGAATGCATACATAGGCCATACCCACATATGTAAACGGTGTTCAAACCACACGTGAGGTATCGCCACAAAAATCAGAGCAAGAGTAATAATTCTAGCACTAGACCTCTTCTGTAACGTTACATTGCTAACCTGTAGAAATGTTTAAAACATCACCCGTGGAGTTTTTTTTTAATTACCGCAGTCTGACGCCATTCCACATGCGTGCGCAATTTTAAATCTTGACATGTTGGGTATCTATTTACTCGCCGTAACATCCTCTTTCATATTTTACAAAAAAATTGGCGTATATATAGTGTTTTTGTTTTCTTTTTTTAATCAGTGTATTTTTTTTCCAAAAATATATATATGAATTTTTAAAAAGTGCACATTTCGGCCAAGTGCATTTTAAGATTTTTCATTTCGGTGCACCACTAATACACACACACACTATATTGCCAAAAGTATTGGGCCAGCCCTCCAAATTAATGGATTCAGGTGTTCCAATCACCTCCATGGCCACAAATGTATAAAATCAAGCACCTAGGTATGCAGACTGATTCTACAAACATTTGTGAAAGAATAGGTTGCTCTCAGGAGCTCAGTGAATCCAAGCGTGGACACGGTGATAGGCTGCCACCTGTGCAATAAGTCCATCTGTGAAATTTCCTTGTTACTAAATATTCCACGGTCAGCTGTTAGTGGTATTATAACAAAGTGGAAGCAACTGGGAGCAACAGCAACTCAGCCACAAAGTGGAAGGCCACGTAAAATGACAGAGCGGGGTCAGCATATGCTGAAGCACAACAGTGCGTAGAGAGCTTCATGGAATGGGTTTCCATGGCCGAGCAGCTGCATCCAAGCCTTACATTACTAAATGCAATGCAAAGCGTCAGATGCAGTGGTGTAAAGCACGCTGCCACTGGACTCTAGAGCAGTGGAGGCATGTTCTCTGGAGTGAAGAATCACGCTTCTCTATCTGGCAATCCAATAGACGTGTTTGGTTGTTAATCAGTTTCTGCTGCTTTGGTGTTAATGAAATTAACAACAGGTGCACTCGATGAGCAACAATGAGATGACCCCCAAAACAGGAATGGTTTGACATTTTTTTTCCTACTCATCTTTTCTGACGGTTTTTTCACTAGTTTTGCATTTGGCTAGGGTCAGTGTCACTACTGGTAGCATGAGGCGATACCTGGACCCTACAGAGGTTGCACAGGCAGTCCAACACCTCCAGGATGGCACATCAATACATGCCATTGCTAGAAGATTTGCTGTGTCTCCCAGCACATTCTCAAAAGCATGGAGGAGATTCCAGGAGACAGGAAGTTACTCTAGGAGAGCTAGTCCTTAACCCATCAGCAGAACCAATATCTGCTCCTTTGTGCAAGGAGGAACAGGATGAGCACTGCCAGAGCCCTACAAAATGACCTCCAACAGGCCACTGGTGTGAATGTCTCTGACCAAGCAATCAGAAACAAATTTCATGAGGGTGGCCTGAGGGCCCGACGTCCTATAGTGGGCCCTGTGCTCACTGCCCGGCACCATAGAGCTCAATTGGCATTTGTCATTGAACACCAGAATTGGCAGGTCCACCACTGGTGCCCTGTGCTTTTCACAGATGAGAGCAGGTTCACCCTGAGCACGTGACAGACGTGAAAGGGTCTGAAGAAGCCATGGAGAATGTTATGCTGTCTGTAACATGGTTCAGCATGACCGTTTTGGTGGTGAGTCAGTGATGGTCTGGGGAGGCATATCCATGGAGGGACAGACAGACCTCTACAGGCTAGACATTGGCACCCTGACTGCCATTAGGTATTGGGATTAAATCCTTGGACCCACTGTCAGACCCTACACTGGTGCAGTGGGTCCTGGGTTCCTCCTGGTGCATGTGGTGAGAATATGCAGGCAGTTCCTGGAGGATGACAGAATTGATACCATTGAATGGCCCCACACTCGCCTGACCTAAATCCAATAGAACACCTCTGGGATATCATGTTCTGGTCCATCTGACGCTGCAAGATTGCACGTCAGACTGTCCAGGAGCTCATCTGGAAGGAAATACCCCAGGACACCCTCCGTCGTCTCATTGGCAGCATGCCCCGACGTTGTCAGGCATGTATACAAGCACATGGGGGCCATACAAACTACATAGTACCATTTTAAGTTGCTGCAATGAAATTTCAGCAAAAATAGACTAGCCTGCTGCATCATTTTTTTCACTTTTTTCAAGGTGTCTTTGAATTCAGTCCTCTGTAGGATGATAATTTTCATTTCCATCAAACGATGGGGGATATGTTCCTAACACATTACCCAGTCCATATCAGTATAGCAATCCAGGATTATATTTTTGCCCATTGAGATCTGATGTGTTTTCAAAGTGTCCCTTTAAATTTTTTATTTATATACACACACAGTAACTCACAGAAGTGAGTACACCCCTCATATTTTTGTAAAAATTTGATTCTATCCTTTCATGTGACAACACTGAGGAAGTGTCACTTTGCTTCAATGGATAGTAGTGCATACAGCTTGTATAACAGTGTAAATTTGCTGTCCCCTCAAAATAACTCAACGCACCGCCATTAATGTCTAAACTGCTGGCAACAAAAGTGAGTACACCCCTAAGTGAGAATGTCCATTGTTCTGTGCAGTCAAATTCTCTGCTCCTTATGCCATAATGACATACTAAAAAAATGGTGTAGAATGTCTATGATCTTTGGACTGGGCAGCCAAAGGAGCTAAAACCAAGGTATGTCCTGCACTGCAGCTGGGAAATCTTCTGGAAAAGCCACAAAACACATAGAGGCTTTATAAAAAAAAAGCAATGTGCAATCTTGCATAAATATAATAAATTACCCTTAGGCTATGGGATGTTGACTGGAATTTGACAGTAAATGATAATGTACCTCCACACACACACGATCTCTCTCCTTACCTTTTATTTCTATACAGATTTCATCATCTCCAGTTTGTTGACCTGATCCTATCCTGCCAGAACTCAGTCTTTGCTCCCACTCTTCAATCACTACTGCCTTCTCTTGATCACTCAAGTAAATGGTATCTGGATGTTTCTGCTGGATGTGCATCTTCACAGTGCTGATTTTTGGGTTTATTAAGGTCACTCCACATACCATACAGATCAAGCCATCCTTACTTGGGGTGTAATCCATTAGGAACTCTAGTTTCCAACGGTCATGTTGGTACTTGCGTGGGTCCTGCGGAACATTACCTTGCACTCTCCCAAAGGCAAATTCCCAAGAAGCACCTTTCCCTTCTGACAACGCTCCAGCCCAGCTAGGCTCCTGCTCCTCATCCTCCACAGCATCACATTCAGATACTTTTGAAGGAGTCACTCCATAATCTACAATGATGAGGGATACAGACAAAGAAAATTGAGTCATGTGGGAATTAGGTGTAGAAGATCTTCAAATTATTTCACAAAATGAATGCTCAATGTGACGGAACATTTTAAAACATGGAGAAAAATTAAGTTTGTGTGCCCTGTAGAAGACAAAAGTGGAATGCAAATCATTAGTTATTTAACCATTTCAATACCAGGCACTTGTACCCCCTTCCTGCCCAGGCCAATTTTCAGGTTTCAGCGCTCTCACACTTTGAATCACAATGCAACACTGTACTCGAACTACATTTTTATAATTTTGTTCACACAACTAGTTTTCTTTTTGTGGTATTTAATCACCACTGGGGTTTTTATTTTTTGCTAAATTAACAAAAAAAGACCAAAAATATTGGGGAAAAAAACACATTTTTCTTTGTTTCTGTTATAAAAGTTTGCAAATAAATAATTGTTTTTCATAAATTTAGGCCAAGATGTATTCATGCTACATTTCTTTGGTGAATATAACCCAAATCAGTATTCATTATTTAGTCTGTAGGAAAGTTATAGAGTTCACAAACTATGGGATATATCTGAAAATTGATCAATCCTGAAGTACTGACAGCCAATCTAATTTTTTGAGGCCCAAAAATGTCAGAACAGTACAGATGTCCCCCAAAGGACCCCTTTTTGCAAAGTAGACAGTCCGACGTATTTCATAAGAGGCATGGCGAGTTTTTAGATGTAATTTGTTTTGTCATAATTTTTTGGAAAATGAAGAAATGAAGAAAAACATTTTCACACAAATACATTTTTACATACTGTCACCAGTGCAGTACAGCATCATCGGTGATCAGAGACACTGACAGGTGACAGTTTGGTAAAAAAAAAAAAAAAAAAAAAAGTGAATTTTTTTTTTCATTTACCGTATTTGCCGGCGTATAAGACGACTTTTTACCCCTTGAAAATCTTCTCAAAAGTCGGGGGTCGTCTTATACGCCGGTATACGGCATACTGACACTTTTTAGGGGGGCGGCGCGTTGCCGCCGCCGCCCCCCCCCCCCTTCCCCCAATGGAAGGGACACTAAGTACAGGGGTGGGCAGCGGCTGTTTCTTACCTGGTTCCGGTCCCACGACGATCCGGTCCAGGAACCTTCAGTTCGGCCACTGGATGTTCGTGCGGCTGCTCGGCTCCGCCTCCTCACCAGTGATTGGCCGCCAGAACTGTAGCTCAGGAAAGGCACACAGGCGGCCAATCACCGGCGAGGGGGTGGAGCCGAGCGGCCCCGCGAAAATCGAGTGCAGGACCAGCAGGTAAGTGGTCAGTGTAGAGGTGCTGCTGCAACCACATATGCTGGCTGCAGCAGCACCATACGAGAACAGGGTCAGCAAGTGTCAGTGGGAGGAATAGTGCCCATCATTGGTGTCACTGATACCAATGATGGGGCACTATTCCTCCCACTGACACCAACGATGGGGCACTATTCCTCCCACTGACACCAACGATGGGGCACTATTCCTCCCACTGACACCAACGATGGGGCACTATTCCTCCCCCCCACGGACATCAACGATGGGGCACTATTCCCCCCCCCCCCACTGACACCAATGATGGGGCACTATTCCACCCCCCACTGACACCAATGATGGGACACCATTCCTCCCACTGACACCAATGTTGGGACACCATTCCTCCCACTGACACCAATGATGGGGCACTATTCCCCCCACTGATACTAATGATGGGGCACTATTCCCGCCACTGATACCAATGATGGGGCACTATTCCCCCCACTGATACTAATGATGGGGCACTATTCCTCCCACTGACACCAATGATGGGGCACTATTCCTGCCACTGATACCAATGATGGGGCACTATTCCTGCCACTGATACCAATGATGGGGCACTATTCCTGCCACTGATACCAATGATGGGGCACTATTCCTGCCACTGATACCAATGATGGGGCACTATTCCTGCCACTGATACCAATGATGGGGCACTATTCCTGCCACTGATACCAATGATGGGGCACTATTCCTGCCACTGATACCAATGATGGGGCACTATTCCTGCCACTGATACCAATGATGGGGCACTATTCCTGCCACTGATACCAATGATGGGGCACTATTCCTGCCACTGATACCAATGATGGGGCACTATTCCTGCCACTGATACCAATGATGGGGCACTATTCCTGCCACTGATACCAATGATGGGGCACTATTCCTGCCACTGATACCAATGATGGGGCACTATTCCTGCCACTGATACCAATGATGGGGCACTATTCCTGCCACTGATACCAATGATGGGGCACTATTCCTGCCACTGGTGTGCATTGGAAGAGGGGTAGTCTTATACGGCGAGTATAGCTCAAACACTAAATTTTAGCAGGAAAAGTAGGGGGGTCGTCTTATACGCCCCAGTCGTCTTATACGCCGGCAAATACGGTATGTTTGATTACTTTCTTTTTTTAAGATTTTTCTTCCTATTACACTATGCCCAAAGTAGTATAATGTTACCATAGTAACATTGTACTACTTTGGGGAAGTGATCAGTTTTGTTTTGTTGTTTTCTTTTTTTACACAATTTGATTGCTTATAGCAAAGATTTTATTTGCTATAAAACAGGCATTTAACTGAATGAAATCGATTAATTCAGGTTTTTTTTGTTGTGATTAGCTGTGATTGGCCACGGCTAATCACATGACACAGATGGGCTGTGATTGGCCCAGCCTGTGCATGTGATCACTGTGACCATTCACAGCAAGACACACTTGTATAAAAAGGATGGCATGAAAGGAAGCCATCCATTGTATACAACTGTCATGTGGCCTACTGTGATTGGTCACAGCAGGTCAAATGGTACTGGCAACAGGGCCACAGATCGGCTGTGTCTGAGGTACACAGCCGGTGACAGATCTCACCACAGTGCGGCCCTGCGGGCACGCAAAATACACGATCCGGGAAGGACGTCATACGACGCCCTACCGGAGGGACGAGAGGCTCGCCCAGCCGTCAAATTACTATAGGCTGGGCGGGAAGTGGTTAACATAGCTGTTTTGAAAGAATTTGCAATTTTCTCTTTTGCTTCACATCCAATTCAAATATGCCTTGTATCCAGTGAAGCACATACATTGTCAATGTACAATGCAAAGAAACTTTGGTGAGTCATGCAAGTGTGAATGAGGCCTTACGGTCCACAATCTTTACTTCTCCCTACATAATCAATCGGCCTCAATGCAGCAAAACATTGCCCTCCAGAGGATTTACCCCCCTTCCTGACTAGGCCATTTTTTGCGATACGGCACTGCGTTACCTTAACCGACAACTGTGCGGTCATGCAACACTGTACATAAATTATCTTTATGTAATTTTTTTCCCACAAATAGAGCTTTCTTTTGGAGGTATTTGATCACCTCTGTGGCTTTTTATTTTTTGTGCTATAAACAAAAAAGTCCGACAATTTTGAAAAAAAAAACAAACAAAAAAACAAAAACTTTTGCTATTAATAATATACAGGATTTATATAGCGCCAACAGTTTGCTCAGCGCTTTACAATATAACGGGAGACAATACAGCTCAATACAGGAGGGAAAGAAGGGCCCTGCTCTTTGGAGCCTACAATCTAGGAGGGAGGGGCTAATAGTGCAAGAGGTAGTAACTGTGGGGGATGGACTGGTTGGAAGAGTAGAAGATTCCATTATTAGCTGAGGGCAGGATAGGCTTCCCTGAAGAGAGAGGTTTTCAGAGATCGCCTAAAAGTGATCAGAGTAGGTGATAGTCTGATAAATTGGGGTAGAGAGTTCCAGAGGATGGGGGAAGCTCTGGAGAAGTCCTGGAGACGAGCATAGGAGGAGACAAGGGAGCTAGAGAGCAGGAGGTCTTGCGAGGAGCGGAGAGTACGGTTTGGGTGATATTTAGAGACAAGATCGTTGATGTAATTTGGGGCAGAGTTATAAATGGCTTTATACGTTATTGTTAATGTTTTGAATTTTATCCGTTGGGCAATGGGAAGCCAGTGGAGGGATTGGCAGAGAGGGATGGCAGATACAGAATGGTTAGTAAGGTGGATAAGTCTGGCAGCAGCATTCATGATAGACTGTAGAGGGGATAGCCTGCGATTCGGAAGGCCAATGAGGAGGGAGTTACAATAGTCAAGGCGAGATATAACAAGGGAGTGAATAACTTGCTTAGTGGTTTCCGAGGTTAGGAACGGGCGTATCTTGGAGATGTTGCGGAGGTGAAGTCTACAAGATTTGGACAGTGATTGGATTTGGGTGGTGGAAGGACAGATGGGAGTCTAGGATTATACCTAGTACCCTGGGGGGAATGATCATTGTGTTATTGATCTTGATGGAGAAGTTAGGGAAGGGGGCACGGGCGTCGTGAGGACGTCGGTGACGAAACGCCTAGGACAGAGCCTTTAAATGTGACGACAGGACGTTCCCAAGTCGCTGGTACGCCGCATTCGCAGCCAGGCCGGGTCCGTGTTTGTGAACATCATCACGCTGTTTGTGCTGGTGTAGGCTTAGACACTTTTTCTTGTAAGTGTAATATGTTTTATTAAATTGGAGGTTTTATTAAGTACTGCACCATGAGTCTTTATTCCTTTTATTATATCTTGAGTGGAGGTCTGATCATCCTAAAGATTCGGTGGCTGATTTTTGAAGTGGATCCATATGGTATACATTCCCTGCAGAGTATTGCTCCCTGGAGACCAGATATCAAGTTCCTAGTGTTGCCTCATCAGTTTGCAGATCATTGCTCCCAGAGCAGAAAGCGCTGTATGCTGATTTATAATATGATGAGCTTATTGCTCTGGTGAGTTCATTCAATCTATTTGGTGGCGGATTCACTTTGGTGATATTTGTTGAACACTCCTTTAACCGCTTGCCGACCCACCGCAGTGTTTTTTACTGCGGCAGGGCGGCACCTGTGCGCACAGCGCCGTCTTTTAACGGCGCTCTGCAAAACAGATCGCGACAGCAGGAGTCCATCACCGGATCCCGGCG